ATTTGGTATGCTCCTCCTTATTCTTCTGGGCTGCGATTGATTATCCTTTTTGAGTCCATGAGGGGAGGGGAGGGAAGTAGTTGATGCTGATAGCACTCCTAAGGACTTTGTCTAAAATGTGGAGACAAAAGTCAGGTAAACTGAGCAGTGTCCCAAAAATCTACCATCTAATTTTTCTTTTTTTGCGCAATTAAGCTTCTGTAGAGCAAGAAACCTACAGTCACTCAGCTTCTTGGAAACTTTCTCCATTTACACAAAAACACTCTTATACAATCAAATTCTACCTATTCAGCATGGAAAGCAAGAGCTTCTCCAACTTTATTTTCAGATTGATCTTCCAGCCTCCTAAACACACGTGTAATGTGGGCTAAACAGCCACTTCTAAGATGAATCTATGGTTTCTACCATCTCACTTTAAACACTGTAGACTGAAACGGTATCCCTAGAGACTCATGAACTTAATTGATTTTCCAGAATACATTAGTAGAACTATTCTGAATAATGAACTAACAAACAAACCTGGATTGTCTTAACTAAACACTGGATTTGTGCCACCTACAATGAGGTGATCACGATGGGCCCAATTCCTATGGGGCTTTTTGTACGTGGATCTGCATGAAATTTGAAATTCTGTCTTATGGACGCTAGTTATTTGAGGCCCAGAGGATCATAGAATCATAGGAAAAAAGGGGTTGAGAGGGACATCAGGAAGTCATATAGTCCAACTCCCTACTCAAAGCAGGACCATCCCCAACTAGATCATCCCAGCCAGGGATTTGTGAAGCGGGCCTTAAAAACCTCCAAGGATGCAGATTGCACAAGCTCTCTAGGTAACTTGTTCCCGTGCTTCACCACCCTTCTAGTGAGAAAACATTTCCTAATATCCAAGCTAAACTTCCTGTGCTGCAATGTGAAGTGGTTGCTCCTTGTTCTGTCATCTGTCACCCCAGAGAACAGTCAAGCTGCATCCTCTTTGGAACCACACTTCAGGTACTTAAAGACTGCTATCAAATCCCTCCTCAGTTTTCTCTTCTCCAAACTAAATAAACTCAGTTTCCTCAGCCTCTCCTCATAAGTCATGTGCCCCAGCCCCTGAACCATTTTTGTTGCCCTCCACTGGACTCTCTCCAACTTGTCCACATCCTTTCTATAATGGTGGGCCCAAAACTGTATACAGTACTCGAGATGTAGCCTCACCAGAGCAGAATACAGGGGAATAATTATTGTCCTCGACCTGGCAATACTTCTACTAATGCAGCCTGGTATGCTGTTAGCCTTCTTGGGAACAAGGGCACACTACTAGCTCCCATCTGTCATATTGTCCACTATCATCCCCAGGTCCTTTCCTGCAGAGCTGCTGCTTAGCCAGTCAGTCTCCAGGCTGTAGTGGTGCATGGGATACTTCCATCCTAAGTGCAAGTCTTTGCAGTTGTCCTTGATGAACCTCATAAGATTTCTTTTGGCCCAATCCTCCAGTTTGTCTAGGTCACTCTGAATCCTAGCCCTACCCCACAGTTTATCTACTATACTCCCCAGCTTGGTGTCATCCACATACTTGCTGAAGGTGCAATCCATCCCATTTTCCAGATCATTAATGAAGATTTTGAACAAACCTGGCCCCAGGACTGACCCCTGGGGCACTCCACTTGATGCCAGCTGCCAGCTAAACATTGAGCCATTGCTTACTACCTGTTGAGCCCAACAATCCAGGCAGCTTTCTGTCTACCTTATAAGCCATTCATCCAACCCATACTTCCTCAGCTTGCTTGTACGAATGCTGTGGGACACGGTATCAAAAGCTTTATCAAAAGATAATGGCTAGCAGCTCTGCAGTTACATTAGCCAACTTCCTTAACACCCTTGGATGGATTGCATCCGGCCCCATGGACTTATACATGTCCAGCTTTTCTAACCTGTTCTTTCACCACTGTTGGCTGCTCACCTACTCCCCAAATTGTGCTGCCAGGTGCAGTAGTCTGACCTTGCCTGTGAAGACTGAGGTAAATAAGGCTTTGAGTAATTCAGCCTTTTCCTCCTCATCTTTCGTTAGGTTGCCTCACCCATTCTGTAAGGGACCCACACTTTCCCTGACCTTCCACCTGTTGCTATCATACTTGTAGCAATCCTTCTTGTTACACTTCACATCCCTTGATAGGTACAACTCCAGTTGCACTTTGGCCTTCCTGGCTTCATCCCTGCATGCCTGAGCAATAGTCATATAGTCCTGCCAAGTTGTTTGTCCAAGTTTCCACTTTTTGTAAGCTTCCATTTTGTGTTTCAGCTAATTGAAGAATTCTCTGCAAAGCCAAGCTGCTTGCATGCCACGTTTGCTATTCTTCTTGCATATTGGGAGCTATTCTTCTTGCATATTGGGATGATTTGCTCCTGCACCCTCGGTAAGGTTTCTTTAAAATATAACCAGCTTTTCTGGACTCCTTTCCCCCTTAACCTGGCCTCCCAGGGGATCCGACCCATCAGTTCGCTGATGGAGTCAAAATGTGCTTTCCTGAAGTCCAGGGTCCATACTCTGCTGTTCTCCTTCCTTCCTTTTGTCACAATCACGATCTCGTGGTCACTGCTGCCCAACTTGCCATCCATTTCTACGTCCCCCACCAATTCTTCCCTGTTTGTGAGTTGTTGGTCATTTCAACACTTTCACTGGGAAATTGTCTCCAACACTCTCCAAAAATGTCCTGGTTTGCCTGCATGCTTCTGTATATTGTTCCCCTAGCATGTCAGAGTGATTGAAGTTCCTCATGAGAATCAGGGCCTGTGATCAGGAAGCTTCTGTTAGTTGAAGAAGGCTTCATCTACTCCATCCTCCTAGTCTGGTGGTCTATAGCAGACACCCGCCACATCACCCTTGTTGCTCTCCCTTCATCCTGGCCACCTCATAGGGTTACTTTGCTTGCTTTCTTCACCACTAGCCATCCCCAAAAGGTGTCTGGCTTCAAAATATTAGTAGTTGAGAGGGAATGAATTTTCCCATCTACTGAGTAGCCTGAAAAAAAGTATTAACAATATTATATTTCCATTAGGAAGAAAACAAATATGTATTGTGTTGAGTAGCTAAATGAGGGATTGGATTGAGATGTAGTGTCATGGTTGAAACTTTAAATGGTGAGATTTCTTCCTTCAAGGCAGTCACTTTTTAAAAAGCCCTGCTACTTCAGTCTTGTGCTTGTTTTAATTTTTTTTTAATATTATATGATGTTTTATCTGTTTGATTTTCTCTGTGTTTGTCTTTGTTTCCCTTTTGCTGTTCCTCAAATAGAGGTAGATATTTTGTAGACTCAGGGTATAGGGAACTTGTATTTAATTTTAAAATAACCAGCTAACAAAGAATTTAGCAAACATCCTGAAGTGTCATTGCTTAAAGACTGTAGTTTTCTAACTGAAAGACAGGGCTTACAGAACTACAGTTATTGTTCTAAAATATTTCAAAATTAACACTATACTAATGCAAATGCAAGAATATAGTTTCCCTTAAATAGTACCGACCACAAGTAATGGGATGATTTGAGTATACTTATGCAATGCTAATATTTTCAATCATAATTAGAAGATATTTCAGTGTTTCTGGGTGGCACTAACAATATGCAAAGGTACAAAAGAGGAAAGTAATACACATACAAAAAGGTAGTATGCAGACAAAATTTGTTGTGTGTCCAATTGTTATAAAATATTGAAAAGTCTAATTGGTTTGGCAAGATGACAGCATCTCATTGCTGTCTTATAAAAATGTGAAAAATGTGAAGGAGCTCCACTATTAAAATTCTCAGTTTGCTGTAGTCTAGGTATACTGCAAAAGTGTCATAATTAATATTTGGAGAATAAGAACTGATTATTTTTTACGGGAGTGTCCCATTGGCCTGTCATAAATTATTCATCACTGTGCTTGCAGTAGAGGCTTCTATGTATACTGTCCTTTTTTTTAACCTGAGCTCATGGTTTTTCTGTTGTAAATACAACTTGAAATTTTTGTGCCCTACGGCACTCATGTGGGTCAGATTCTTAGCTGCGTTGAACGCTATATACTTCCAAGCCCTAACATTGTTTTCTCAAAGCCTTTATTTCCAAGAAGATGGAGGGAAGAGAGCTCTTTGAAAACAACAAAACAAAACAAAAGAGTTTAAATATTAAATATATTTGAGCATGTATGAAGATAATGATATTTGTGGGGTTTTATCCCTTCCCTTCCCTTTCAAGTTTGTTCAGGATCAATGCTAGGAATAGGGCACATTGTACAAGCAAACTGGAGTGTCTCATTCCCTTCCTTCATGATGCATTTTTCTAGCTGTGTAATGTTTGCTTGTAGTGTTTGCTACCATACCTAACCTTCAGGCTGAGATGACATGGAGCATTTAAACAATTGGTCAGTCAGCTAGCCAAAAATAATAAGGGAAAGAGGTGTGAGGGAAGGTTTGGCTGCTTAGTTCAAAGTAGACAGTTGTATATGTAAGAGACAGAGAGAGAACCAATTTTGAGGCTAAACTGATGCTAATGGACAGCCATAGAAAAACTGGAACATCCACACCTATTTCTTAAGTAATATCACAAATATTTTAATGTAAATACAGTGTTTATTTTGTATGCAATCTTTATTGTAGCACAAGAGATTTCCTTTAATAAGTTCATTTTATACAGCAAATCCCTTAGGTCTTGCATTGCTATTTACTCTCATACATAATTGAGCAGTGTCACTACAGATAAGTGTTTTAGAGAAGTATTTTATGAGCACTGGCACTAGTGCTGTGCAGGAGAGAGGAAGGACAGATATGAATTGAGGAGTAGGTTAGATAAGCACATCACATAGCCTTCATAGACTGTAGCTATCCCTTTCTTTTTGTGTGAATTGTTTTTCAGATTGTTTTAAAAAGGCATGAACATCAGAACTATTACTTTTTTTTCTTTTCTGATATACAAATTTCTTTTTAAATGTTTATTAAATTTGAAAGTAAGGCAATAATTGTGTGATTATTTTTTTCCTCTTTATCCAGCCACTTATTCCTCGAAGCCCGACAAGCAGTGTCGCTACACCATCCAGCACGATCAGTACACCCACCAAAAGAGATAGCTCTGCTCTCCAAGAACTCTACATACCCCCTCCTCCAGTAGAGCCTTACATTCCCAGGTAAACTGTTAGTGATGATGTTGCTCATGGCCAAAAAATGGCCCTCAGAAAATGACCAACTGAGCATTTTCATGCATTAAGTTGACTGTTAAAAAAAACCAAATAACCATGCTAGTGTAATATCTGGGAATTGGAACTGCAGGTTCAAGCCCCTGATAATTTCCCTTGGTGTTGGTCTAGTTTTTAACAGAGCCATGATCCATCTGATGCAGTATCTCACCTTCAAAAGTGGACAATTCTGCATTTTGGTTGGGAAAAATCCTGCCATTACTTACCTTACTATATTCTGTAATGACTTGATTGTTCCAGAAATATATGCGCCACTCTGAGTTGTGAGTGAAATGGCCATATTTATCACTCTCCTATCAGGCTAAACTACCAACCTCCACTCAGCAGTCTATTCGTTCTTAGCAGAGTCCTCACCCAGCTCCCAAATAACCTATTACCATTCAGTTAACTAATTACAGTAGCCTAGAATACCAATTGTTTCTTTCCTAAAATCATGTATTAATATTACAGTCTACAAATACCTCCATAAAGTATGCATTGTAAACTAAGCATTAGACTAGTGGGATTAGTGAGAGAATGTGATTCAAAGGAACAGTTAATTTTAAAGTGTTCTGTGTTTACTGTGTGTGCAACATTATATGTCCAAATCATGATTTTGGGGGTTGGGGGGGTTTGGCTGCATTTTGTTACCGTTGTTGAACTTGTTGTAAGATCAGTATGCCCATGACCTGGACTAGAGTCACTCAATAGTGGAATAGAGTCACTCAGTAATGACTCATTTAGCCAATTAACAAGATGTATTCCCTGATGCTGATAAGCCTTTCCTGTGTGGTAGCCAAAGACATGTTGGATGGAAAATTAAATTGGCAGGGGCAAAGGGAAATTGTGTATGTATAAAAAATCCTCAATTTCCAGAGAGATAGAATACTGCTGAGGGCAGAATGTTTAGTTTCTACTTCATGGTTCTGATGATGTTCCGCTCCTTTTGTGAAGCTATGAACTAAAATCTTGCAGATAGTTCTTATACTTGCACTGTCTGTTCTGGACTATATTTACTTTTAGTAAAACAAACAAACAAACAAAAACCAAAAAAACCCCAAACATTTCTGTTGTCACTTTAACAGGTAATATAATTAGTCCTGCCTAAACAGTTATTCTAATTGGCGTCTTCAGAAAATGATGAACAAGCAATACAGGTAGGGCACAGACAGAATTTAAATTTGTCATGTTCAGCCCTCTGAAAGCTCTCTGCAGCCATGCCATGACACACGCACACAGCTGCAGAGTGCTTTTGAAGTGGCTAATTGCACAACAAATTGACCCTTATCAAGTGGGGGATCAGATAAAGGTGCTCCACTTTGGAGCACCTTAGGGAACTTGTGTTCCCTAGGATTAATTTATGCGTTCCCTAGGCTATCTGTAGGTGGGTAGCAGGGAGAGAGAGTGAGCTGCTGGTTGGGATTTGCCTGGCGTGAACTGGAGGATGAGGTGGGTGGATTGGAGCCCTTCTGCCTCATGCTCCTTGCACCCCCAGTCCTCTCCCCTCTAGCTCAGGCCAGGCAAACCCCAGCTGGCAGCTTGCTCCTCCTCCCCCCCCC